ATTACATGGATCATTAAGGTTTGAATAGTGATAAAATAATTAGAAAATACAAATAAAATAACAAGGCCGGTGCAAAACTATTAATTCAGACCTTAATTATCGGATCAGTTCAAGCTTTAACCCATGTCTTTTTCTGAAATTCCTAAAAATAAGTAATGTTCTCAAATAAATTCAAATATCAAATCTTCATAAATACATTAAATACGTAAGATTTAAAATTATGGAGCAATCTTTTCTAATTAAATTCAAAAATTTCTAATTCAAAAATTTCTAATTGATATATTTAAATTTTTTGGCTTTTGTTTGCCCATTTAGCTATGGTTTTTGAGTTTTTATAAAATAGTTTTAAATATTACGGGATGAATTGTATGACACAGGTTTGGTTAGGATTGATATTAATATAAATTTAAAATATCACTAATATATCGCTATAACACATATTAAATCCTCATTTTATTATTTAAAATTTAGCATACGGTACACCGCGGGTAAAATCAGTATAAGACGGGTTAAATCAGCATCTTATTCAAAATCATACAATTGAATCTATTGTTTTTATATTACGTCTATCTATAAAATTTCAATTTTTGTAATAAAATTTCGTCTCACGGTGTATTATACATTTAAATTAAACAAAAAAATAGTATATATCTATAGAATATCTTAAAACAAAAGTTAATAAATTTTTCTAATAAAAATATAGACCCGCGGTACACCGCGGGTTAACATCTAGTTGATCATTATAATCGAAGAGACTACCCCCATTAATCCAACGATATACTATATATTGTGGATTTGAAAATTTGGATGAAGAGTTTATACACAACTCCAAATTCATGATCTTTCTTGTATCTAGATGGGATGATGAGCTCGATTGCTCTTACCTGAAAATGAGAACGTGAGTCGATTCTACAGTGGTCGATTCTACGCTAACAAGCCGGAACTCGCCGCTCGGAGGATCGAGGCCATTGGTTATCAGGTCGGCCACCAACTCTCCGAGAGGTTTGTTGTTGTTAGTTTACACTTGATCATCGTCTTCTTTCGATCTGGTTCATACTTCGTGAGACTTTTCTCGGTAGGTGTTTCGGATGTTAGTATTAGTTGTAGATCTGAAGATGATGGCGAATTTATATTGTTAGCAATGATTCTCTGATATTGGATTTATCGTTTCTCGTGTGTAATTGGCTGAGAATGTGTGCGAATGTGATAGATAGGAAGATAAATCGCGCTGATTTGAGTTTTTCTCATTCGTCGGGGTTTTGGTGTTGAGGAACTGTGAAAATTTGGGGATTTTGAGATCAATTTGGTACTGAAATGAAGATATTTGCGATTTCTGTTGTTCTGTGACCTAGTAATTGTTAGAAATCAAGAAACTTGGAACTTCGACTGTTCTTGTTAGTTTCTTGGATATGAGGTTTTTTATTAATCAATGGCTGGCTCTGAGGATTGCCATTACTCAAGAATTTTAAATCTGAGGTCAACTGTCATGAATTCGGATTGCATGTTTTACTGAATTAGAAAATTGGAATGGTGGACTCGGTTCTAGTAGCTAATATTTCTTTTTAGTTGTGCAATGTTTTGGTGAGGAAATTCCCTTGTTGCCAGACATATATGTCAGAAGATTTTGATTCTCTTAGTCCCTGTTTACCTATAATATGTGTAAGAAGAATGATTTTAGTCTGTTGAAGCATGTTTTGTTGCTTCTAAAGGTGTTTGCCTACATAAAAACTGTTTTACAGTGTTGTATCATGGCAGATATTGAGCATCTTACTTGACTATGCATAACGCCTGCCTTTTTATGTCCCTAGGTACACTATGGAAAGACCAAGGTTCAGTGACCATCTAGAGGCAATCAAGTTTATCTGCAAAGACTTCTGGTCTGAGGTCTTCAAGAAGCAGATAGATAACTTAAAGACAAATCACCGGGTGAGATTTCCTCTAAAAATACTGGAATTGCCTGAACAAAGGCGAAACTCTTCTTGTGTGCTAAATTCTAACAAATGTTTCTTCAGGGTACTTTTGTATTGCAAGACAACAAGTTCCGGTGGTTGTCTCGTGTCTCAATTGACCCTTCATCTGAGAACGAAACCGAAGATCCATCTACTCCAGGGGAAAGCAAAGCAGCACAAGCGGTGAGCATGTACCTATATTTCCCATGTGGAATCATAAGAGGTGTCCTCTCCAACTTGGGGATACCGTGTGCTGTCTCTGCAGATATATCAAGCCTTCCCACATGTGAGTTCACCGCTTATTTTTCTTGTTTTCGAAAATCTTAATCTTTCTTCTATATTCTCAAAATCACACATTGGAGGGAAGAAAAATAGAAAATTGTTAAAAATATTACTTATTTTGGTATATATTGGCTGTAAGCATACTCGTCTTTTAGAAGCTTAAGTACACATTTGTTAAGTTTGCTCACATAAACTCAGCTTGGAGTCATATTTCAAAACCTGTATTACACGTCATTATAAGTTGCTTCAGTTCAGTAACTATCCTTGTCATGTGCTCACAGGCTCTTTCGTGATTCGGGTAAAGGCTTGATTCTGCATTAAGCTCGAGTCCTCGGCTTTAGATTGCAGCTCGGCTTTATACTTTCAAGGAAGACAGATCCTTCGGGTCTGATGTAACTAAACCCCATTGCAGACTTATGTTTGCTGTTCTTTTGACACACGCAAGAAGAAGAAACAGTGAAGGCTTGGTTTCATGTTTGAAATGACTTTTTATTTTTTCCAATGTAAATTTTTGTTGAGATCTCAAATAGAGTAATTCTGATACATCTCCATTTCATATAAATTTTTTAAAAAAGGCGTACATTTGGGAAAACTTGAAAAACTCGTTTTGAACAAATTTTACTAAAAAAAAAAAAAAAAAAAAAAAAATCCAAATCCAAATCGTTTGTTTATTGGAGCTTCCTTCTCGGCCTTAGGTCTAGAATATGTCTCTAAAAGGCCACAATACTCTTCTAAGGTTCTAGAGGACGGACTGTGGTATGTTTCCTCAAACTATTTGCTTTAGGAATAGGAGACTAACCTAAATACAGTATAAATAAGGGATAGTAGTTCCAATAGGAAGAAGAAGGATTCATTAAGTCGATTCCACCACAATCGGTGAATTTTATCTCTTTTCAATTTGCTTTGATTCCACAATCTTAATTGCTTTTGGACAGTGGAGACTATGGAAAGAATTGGTGAATCTCTCGAGGGGTTTACACAGCAAGCCAATCAAACCCTAGCCGTTACTCAACAATTGAAGAAACACGAAGATGCATTGAATTGGATTCTAGCGGCCATGGATAGGGGAGGTCATGATTTTGCCACAATAGACAGGCACTGTTTATTGAGGAGTCAACAGCTACCAACAAAGGCTGAACGTATCGCTGAAAGGGACAGCTTGAAGAACCAAATTGCTGACTTGGAGGGGAAAAATTTAGATCGGAAAACTGCTAATACTGATTTGGATAAAGATATCACGAAAAAACAAGAGGAATTAACTGCGGATCTGAGTGAAGAAGTGAAACAAGATCTCGAACGGGTAACAAAACAAATTGAAGCTGAAAAGATCACGTTGGAAGCGAAGAAGAATCTGTTAACTACCGCTACCCAAAACTATGATGAGAAGAATGCGAGGTATTATGCTCTTGATACAAAGTTGGGAACAATTCAGGATACCATCGACAACATGAAGAAGGACCGCAAAGCGAACGACACAGAATACAGAGCAGTAGATACTGGGCTGAAAAACACAAAAAGTAATTTGCATTGGGATAAAGAACGTTACATAGAGTTACATCATAAAATCGATCAGCAAGTCACAGAACTTAACAAGAGAAACTGCTCACTCTACACTTCTTTCCAAGAAATATAATTTGCCGCTGATTATATTGCTTCTAATTTTTTATTCAAGAGAACGTAGCTTCTTCAACCGCTGCCTTTTTGTTCTTTTCTTTTTTTTGTTGGATTCTATTTATGTGATTTTCAACTAATTATATAAATTTCTTTTTATGAATTTCTTAAATTTAACATTGACACCAAACTTGGTTTGATCACATGTTTTAGTCACATGATACCAAACACATGCACAACGGATGTTTGGTGTCTATTTGGAATCGAAGGACAAGTTGAAGATATATGCAAGCATCAGACTTGGAAACTTGTCTACATCGATCATTAAAACGACTTATCCAGATAGAGAGACAGAGCGCTTCCATTATTTTCACATGTTTTAGTCCCTTAAGAAATCTTGAATTTTTTGAGGGAATTCGTAAATTGTGTTTGAGAGCATAAGGTCCTTTTATTACATGAGATTCAATAGCTGCGGCGATACATGTTTTGCTCGGAATAGCTCATTACACGACAACTCCACCACCTCGTTTAACGGGTGAAGTCTGAAGAAAATCTCCCACAGACAGAAACGCATGTCAAAGGCTCTGTAAAAATGTTGGGAGGTTTTGGACAAGGGAGGTCTTCTGTTGCTGGATAGAGGACCAAGGCGTGCTCAACATCAAGGAATCAGTGACTTAGTATCGGCTGTTTTTTTCCCATTTGATACACGTTAGCCTTGTGACGCAAGAAACTGTGAAGGCTTGGTTTCAACTTGCCTTCTTTTTTTTCTTCTTTTTTTTTTTTTTTTTTTTATGTAAATTCTTTATTGAGATCTCAAATAGAGTAATTCTGGTACATCTCCATTTCATTTTTAACCAAACTCTTGGAAAAAAGGTCAAAGATATACAAACCTAGCTAGGGTATATTAATATTTAACCAAAAGGCGTTCAAGTAGGAAAACCATATATTTTATGAACAAAATAAAAGGGTTTATTTATACGTAGGCTAGTCATTGCCTTTTAAATGGTCCAAAATTTGAATCATGGTTTGGTTCAAATTTCATA